CAATGGGGAAGGAACTTGCTTTGTTTTCAAATCTGTTCCATCTAACCCCATCATTCTTAAATATCATCAAATTGGAGTGTGTTCCAGTTTTTGAGGGAAAAGACCCCTTCTTATTAACTTTTGTGTGTTTTGCATGGAGTCAGATCAGGAAGTCATCCCCTGATTGGTTCATCCCTTACAGATTTGTTAGGGTGACATCAGCTGAAAATACCCAGAAGGCTGGAGCTGGGAAGATTTTGGGATCACCCACTCAACAACCCCCTGCATCTGTGGTGAGAAATGTAGTGAATGTTCAAGGTCACCTAACCAGATAGGGGCACAACAAGTAGTAAAAACGCCTGGTTTCCTTATTCTCTCTACACTGCACTGACAGCTCGCTTGAGCAAAAATAAATTCAAATCTTGATGAATTTAGCAATACCCCCTAAACTCCATTTATATATTTAAAAAGCCCTCAAACCACCTCCCCCCGGAATTTTTTAGTACACAGTGTTCTCCTTACTTGAGATGCTTTAAAAATTTCTTCCACAGAGAAAAAAGAAGTTACAATAAATTTCTCATATTGAAAATGTCAAGTTCCTGTTTGTTAAATGATGATGTCAGGGACTACAAAATATGAATTTCTGGTTGGATATAAACTCTACAAAGACTTGGATTCCAATATCTGCAGAGATAAGAGTGATAACTAGGAAGTTGCTTTGCGTGAGCTGTTTTGAAAGCGTTGTTACGACTGTCATTGTTTACAGCAAGGCTGTGTATGCGCACGGCTGAGAGAGAGATTGCTCTTACTGATATTTGTACTCGTATTTGTCACTGCCACCTGGCTCCACAGCGGATATTGCCAAAGGGTCTCATTCTCACGCAAGAGGCTGTGGCTGACAATGGAAAGGACAAGGCACCAATATTTGTTGAGTATCTAATATATTTAAAGACCATGCTGGGGGATTGGTATTTCCACTTCTGCAGGACACTGGCTGGCCTGCTGTGGCTTGAACATGCCATGACTAACTCCCGTGTCATTCACTGATATGGCCATTCAACATATAGTCTACAAGGAAGCACTGGGCTCCCAGGTGTTGTTCTAGGTGCTGGGGATAGAGCAGTGAACAGAGCAGACAGACTCCTTACATTGCTAGAGCTTACATTCCAGTGTGGTGGGGGATGAGGAAGACAAAAAAAAATGCAAGCAAATAAATGAACAAGCTAATGACTTTCTTTCTATGCTGTGCTAAGCACTTAATTGTACCATATCATTTAATTATCAGAACAAGCCATGTGGGTACTACTATTCATTTAATGTTACAAATGAGTAAAACGAAGGACAGAAGGCATAAATAACTCTTCCCAAGCTCTCGCAGCCTAGGAGTGACGGATGAAACACTACCCCAGGCAATCTCATTGCAGGGCTCATGCTCTCAACCATTACATTCTACAACTTTATCAAAACCACCCAGTAAATGCTAGGACTTAACTCCTGGGCTGGTAGGGGAAACAGCTGACATACTTAGCAAAGTTTTGGTAGGCACACCCAGGATGGACAACAAGTCTGGAATAGGGGGGTCTAGAAAGGTTTTCTAGAGAAGTTGAGGCCTGATCTGGGTCTTGAAGAACAAATCTTGAAGGGCAATGCCAGCCAAGAGGGCAAATTTAATACCGTGCCTGGGCTGTGGTGTGAGCGCTAGCCACGAGACAGAAAGCCTGAAAGAAATCAAGAAGAAAATCAGAAGAGCTTTGGGTGCTACCATAAGGAGCAGTTTGGCTTTATCTTGTAAAGGTGAAGGGAGCCAGTGAGTAATTTGAAGAAATAGAGTGATATGATCCCATTTGCATTTTAAATGGGATTTTAAACTCCTTTGGGCTCCCTGTCTGCTAGGGGCTTGGTAAGAATTGAATCTCTTTCTCTCCTATCCCCTAACCCCAACTCCCAGTGGAAGCCTGGGCCAGGCCTGTCATACTCACCCTAGACGTTCTACCACCAGTAAAATATGCTATCCATGATATAAAGAAATATTTTGAACTGGAATGCAAGCTGGCTAGAAGATCTCACGGTCAGAAAATATTCTGGTTTATAGATCTTTTCTTTTTCTTCTCCTGCCTTTACTCTACCCAATGTAAACCTTGAAGCTGACAAACTAAGAGTTTAAAAAATTTCACAGGACCCCCTCAGCACTTATCATCAGCCCTAGAGCCTGAGGACTTAGTAGAGCTGGGGAGGAATCCAAGATGTTTTTCTTGCTGTCCTTCCTTAAGAAAGTGGTCTTGCAGTGTGAGGAAATCTTGAGCTTTGAAGTCTGAGAGAACTGGATTCAAATTCCTCCTACGAAGGCACAAACTGCATGGTAGCATAATGACACTTTTCTTTCTTGTTTTTCATTTTTTATTTATTTTTTTATTTTTTGGAAGCGGGGGAAGGACAGAGGGAGAGAGAGAATCTTTTTTTTTTTTTTTAAAGATTTTATTTATTTATGGAGAGAGAGAATCTTAAGCAGGCCACACATCCAGTGCAGAGCCCAATGCAGGACTCGATCTCATGACCCTGAGATTATGACCTGAGCCAAAATCAAGAGTTGGACACTTAACAGACTGAGCTACCCAGGTGTCCCGACGTTCATTTGTTCTTTCTTTCTTTCTTTCTCTTTTCATAAACAAGGGGGATAAAGCTCCTCATTCACACTTTGCTTTTTATGCATGAATGAACTCTGGAAGGACACACAGAAACCAACACCAAATGGTCCGGGGGCTAGGAGAGAGGAATTGAGTAGATCAGGAGCAAGGGAAGAAAAATTGTTCATCTTCATGTATACATATCTTTAGAACTTTGAGTCAAAAGTGACGGAAATACAACTACTCGTTAGATTGTGGCAAGAACTGAGATAAAGCATGTTAATAATAAGACCCTCAAACACAGGATGAGAGACCTAGTTCTTGCCCTCAGGAGGGTCATGTAGCTCAGTATGTTTGGATTTAATGATGAGCTAAACCCAGGAATGTCCTTCTTCTTGGTCACAGTGCAGAAGGCACAAGATGGTACCAGGAGAAGGCTATTGAGTTGACCAGAAAGTGCCACTAAACATAACACAGAAAAATAAACATAACACAAAAAAAGACAGTTGTCTCTTCCAAAATGATCAGCAAGCAGCCACTCTTTTCACTCTTTATGGTCACAAGTAGATTTGTACACCGGAGAAGTACCTCATTGTTTCCAAGTGGGAAAAATTTGGACATTGTCCTTGAAAAAATCTACTGCCGAACTGATCTAGAAGTATACTGTATGATTTCCTTCCGAGCCCAGACTTATTGGTGAAAAGCCTCTTTGAGAAATAGTGGGTGAATGGAAGGGGCAAAAATTGGAAAAACGGCAAGTTTCAGTGACTGAAGGCGATAGTTGTGAAATTCTTTGAATTCTTTGTAAAAGATGATCAATTCCCACAGTGATTCATGGGATTCATAACTCAACATTTGCTTCTAGTTTCCTCTTAGCAAGTATTTATGGAAGGCCCCCAGACACCTAATGCTGTTTTAGAAGGTGAGTGAACTAAAGAAATACTGTATACATTCAGTCTCTGTCCTCAACATGTTTGTATTTTTTTTTTCCTCCTCTTGGCAAAAATATATCAAGCATCATGCAAATGAGTCTTCACTTATATGTAATAAAACACCAGGGCAGGGAGAAAGCCATCTTGGCTGGGGTTGTCATGGTGGGGTGGGGGTGTCCTTAGATGAGCTTGGATGGATGAGGCCATCCGGCTATGGAAAGACACCACAGTGAATTATTTTCAGTAATAACAGTAATCTCTATTTCTTCATGGTGAGACAAATTCAAATGTTAGTTGTACTTTGTACCAGAAAAATTAAGCGGTGGCCATAAAACCGTGTAAACATGAGGACAACTAATCTTCCTGCTTAACCATTTGTTCCTGAAGTCACTTTTTATATAATGAGCTGTTCTGAGAAAACCGGAGGCAGGAGCCTGGTTTCTGAAAACAGGAAATAAACTCTCTGAGGTGTGACAATTACATCTCCTGCTGCTTTGGGCCTTGAAGTTTGGGTGGGCCTAGCCGGCAGGAGCACTCCCCCAGGTGTTGACAGAAGCTTATCATGAGCCCCCTTGAAAGAGCTTGGAAAATTAGCTAAAAGTAGGGGAAGTTAGTTTGATGATTCACTGTTAAGTAGATTATAAATCTGGGGAGGATTCTTAAACAGTTGTGACCTTTCTGAGAATAATGTTTTTTGAGCGAAAATGCACACACACATGCACACAGACATATTTGTATATGTGTATTCGAATTATTTCCTAATTTAAAAAAATAGTGATCCATTGATAAAGCCGCCCATCCCCCCATATCCTGAAGCAATGAATGAGCAGGGTGGAAACTTCACCAACCCCCTCCCTCTGCTCGTGGCACCCGTCATGCTGATGGTCCCATGCGGGGCCTCTGGGGCCTCGGAGGGGCCTGGCCGTTGGAGGAAATGAGAAATGCAAAGCAGGAACATCAGTGCTGAGCTGAGAAGAGGACAGTCATCTTTTGGGAAGTACGTTGCCCCCTCCAGACTACCCAGGCTTATCTCTAAGCCTACATGCCCGGGGCGATTCCCTCGAATTAGGCCAGTGGTCACCATCGTGGCTCCAATAAAATTAATGAAAGGATTAATTAGATGCAGAATATTATGCTATGGTTACAGTCCACTAAGGAGTAAAAATGTGATGGTCTCCGCTTAGGAAGCTTATGGCCTAAAGGAAATACAAACAGACCTCAATTTCCTTTTTTCTCACTTGAGTGAATATATCTTATATCCTTCTGTCAAATCAGAAAGGCTCTGTCAGGGAGAATAAGGTCCTTTTCATATGTATGCAGAAAGAAACCCGAGGGGTTAGAGCGGCGAGCCTGACAGAGTCACCCTCTCCAAAGGCTCCCTGAGGGCCCCTGGCAAGAAATGGCTCCGCGGAGGGAACGTCCAGTCCCCTCTTGTCCCTAGTCCTCACGCCAAAGCCTGGGTTGCCCGCCCGAGCACGGAATAGAGTCATCTTCCGAAGATGGAAAATGAATGATTGCAAACCCACTAAAAAGAGATTTTCCTTGACTTACCTTTCCTTGACTTACCTTGACGGAAATGAGCGTCATTTCCGTCATGAAATGATGCTCCCTCACCCCCGCGGACTGGAAGCTGCGATGCTGGAGGGAGAGGCTCTGGGCTCCCGAGGAGAAGAGCCATCACTGATGGACAGACACACAGATCCCCATGCTCTTCTTGGAGGGCAGTCCTCTAATTTCAGGAAGAATCGAGAGACAGCGTGTTCTTTCTGTGAGTAACCCAGAGTGCAGGTGCGCGGGTCATGAATTGGAGAGTCGGCACCTTTCTGAGAGTGAGCACTGATGAGACCACCAAGCGTGGATGTTCCCTAGGTTGCTTTCAGTAAAAATTCAGAAGTATTTGTTTCGAGAATCTGTTGGGCTCTTTTCTGTGGGTGCCCACCTTGCTTGACTCGCTGTCTGGCCAATATTCCTATGCTTTCCTTTCCTCTCACGTCACAGATGTGTGGGTTTTTTCCCCACACCGATGATTCTCTGAGACCAGCTGAGTGTCCTACAGTCCAAGTCAGTTCTGACACTATCTACCAGCAGGTCGTCTGGCTCCCATGCGTGAAGAGCTCAGGCTCACAGGGCGGCCCCTGCGACACCCACCGCAAGCTCGAGACGATCACCTGTATTTCTGATCAACTGGCCACAAATAGAGGTTCCCACAAGCTTCTCCTTGGAGAACTCAGGAAAACACATCCTTACACTTACCTGTTTATTACATAGAGTCTAATAAAGGATACAGTTGAACAGCCAGATAAAGAGATACATAAGTTGAGGTGTGGAAGGGTCCCACAAGCAAGAATTTCTTTTCTTTCTTTTTTTTAAAGAGATTTTATTTATTTATTTGTCAGAGAAAGAGAGCAAGCTTGAGTAGGGGGAGAAGCAGGCAGAAGAAGAAGCAGGCTCCCTGCTGAGCAAGGAGCCTGATGTGAGACTCAATCCCGGACCTTGGGATCATGACCCGAGAAGAAGGCAGATGCCTAACTAACTGAGCCACCCAAGCATCCCTTAAGTGCAAGAGTTTCTGTCCCGGTGGAGTTGGGGTGGACCATCCTCCCAGTGTGTGAATATATTCAGCAACCCAGAAGCTCTCAGAACCCCATACTTTCAGGATTTTGTGGCGGCTTCGTCACCTAAGCATAATCAATCTTAACTCAATCTCTAGCTTCCTCCCCTTTCTGGAGAATTAGGGGTGGAGTTGAAAGTTTCAAGCTTCGACCATGGTTTAGTCTTTCTGGTGACCACCCCCCCCATCCAGGGGCCCACCAAGAGTCACCTTATTGGAACAAAAGAATTCCAAGACAGTTAGGAGTTCTGCGTCAGGAACTGGGAACAAAGACTGAAGATGAGCGGGAATCAGGGGAGAAACAAATACATATATTTCTTATTGTTTCACACCTGCCATGCCAGTTTCCCGAAGATAAAGGCCAAGAGCATACGGTCTGTTCAGAGTTCGGCACTAAATTCATACACATAAAAGAAGGGGTGTATTAGGGCGAGGCAAATCCTCACATATCCTCCTGCCGTTTTGCTCCAACATTAGGTAAGGCTGGGTGACCATGTGGATGTCACATGGGAAAACCTTGTGACCCTCAGACTCAACTTCCAGAGCTTGTATTATTTTCTAAGCCCCACTGAGCTGGTCCCCTCCCACCTGGAGTGTGATCTGGGGTTGTCCTATTTGGTGCTTGGGTTTTAGCTTCTGCTCTGCTTCGTGATCCACCTTCCCCCAGCTCTATGCATTTTTCTCTTTTCCCAAAGTCCCTTGATTAGATAAGGTCAGCCCTTACTCTCTGCTTTTGTGTCTCAGCTACACACTTGGCTCCTTCTCAATTTTCTACTCTGAAAACCTTCAATTTTGTAACTCTGGGGAAAAATGCAATTACTGGGGTGGAGAGCCTATTGTAGCCTTTCGAGCACTTCCCAGACACCTGCTATGGGGGTGGCAAGGGTTGTGGCTTTTGCTTTTGGGCTCCTGGCAGCAGTATTTTTCATAAAGCTGGGTACCCCAGGTGCTGTTAACTTTTCAGGTTCCAGTATGGGAAGGAAGCAGAAAACAGAACAAAATGTACACCAATTGAAGTCCTTCGGAAAAATAGCTGAAATCATCTGAGTTCTGGGCCAACATATGTGATAAAAATTGCTTGATTATCATTAAGGCTGAATGTGACCAGAAATACGTAGGCCTAATATCTGGCTATTAATGAAACTTAAAGGTCCTTTTGATAAAAACAAAACAAAACAACACATCCTTCGTGTCTTGTCATTGCATCTGAAAATTCACATTTTCACATCCAGAAGGACTCTGTTCAAATGCAACCATTTTGGGGGTAAGTACTCACGTGAATGAGTCACCATTAATGTGTGAGGTGTGGTGAGTGACACCGTGTCCTAGATGAACAGGCTCTGAAAAAAGGCAAACACAGATAAGGAATGTTTTAGACACAGAGAGAGCCTAGGAGGTTTTCGAGCTGTGTTGTCAGATGTGATAGACGCTGGCTATGTGTGGCTGCTTAAACTTAAATTCAAACTTAAATTAATTAAAATAAAATCACCAATTCAGTTTCCAGTCACATCAGCCATATTTCAAGTGCTAAGTAGCTGCATGTGGCTACCATATTGGACAGTGCAGATATAGAACATTTCTGTTATTACAGAATGTTTTTTTTTAAAATCATTTTTCTATTACAGAATGTTTTATTAGACAACTCTGGTCTGGGGTAGAAGAGACTTAGTGGAGAGGGCATGTCTAAATGGACTGTGTCTATGTTGTGCTTAGAATCCCAAAAACAATGAAGAAAGTACTGGGAAACAGGTAGGGGAGGAGGATGTACTCCAATGGAGAAAGGAGATCATACAACACAGTGGTGGCAAGGAAACAAAAGGCAAACATTGTCTACTTTGCGATTTTGCTGGGAGTCTCTTGATTATGTATTCTATGAGGGAAAAGCAGAATTTTCTAGCAACTCACTCCTGGGTTCAAATTCCAGCTCTGCTAAATACTAGTGGGGTGGCTATGGGTACTTCTTAATCTTTCCTTATCTGTAAAATAGAAATGATAATTCCTACCCTGCACCACCATCAGGAAACTCAAAGGTAACATACATGAATCTGGTCCGCCATATGTGCTCGACAAATTGGAACTGTTACATTCCAGCACACAGGTGGTCATTCCATAAATGGTTATTGAGTTTAATTGAAGGGGAGGACTTCAGGGGCACTTGGCTGGCTTAGTTGGTTAAGCGTTGTCTGTGGATGTTGGCTCAGGTCATGATCTCAGGGTTGTGGGGTCAAGCCCCCGTTGAGCTCACACCGGGTATGGAGCCTGCTTAAGATTCTCTCTCTTCCTCCCTCTACCCGTCCCCCCAGCCTCCCTCTCTTAAAAAAACAAAAACAAAACAAAACAAAAAAAGCCAAAGAACCAGAGCACTTCCTATCTCTCTTTTTCACGCTCTTGCTTTCACTACAAAGAAAGATCCTGTGAGACACTGTACAAACTCAGACGTTACTGGTATTGCAAGAGTAATTAATACGAAATAGGATCAGAATACAACCATACCTTGGAAGCTAATCCTTTTAAGTGAATGGAACTGAAATATTGTAATTCACGAAATAACACTAAAATGGTACTGGTTGGACAGTTAATGCCTGTTATTTATATTTGTTGAATTTTTTAAAATTGCGCCATTCACAGAATTGCTTGAGGACACAAGTTCAAAGCATTAGTACATTAATTATCATAAATGAATCATTACACAGCAACATAATTAACAGCTTAGCTACTATATTTTTTAAAAAATCTTTTTCAATGGTAGCCTCAAGTGTTCCTCTGCTGGAAAAGTTGGCTAAAAGACAAGCCGATGGGTAGAAATTGCGATGTGAAAATAGAATCATGTGAATTCATCTCATCCATTCTACTGACTTTGTACTGAAACCAATGTCTTTTTAAAGACATTTTATAATCTTTTATAGGCCTGCACTCATTGTGGTATTTTTCTTTATAGATATCTAAGAAGACTATTAATCTGTCCCCAGGTACCAAAAAGCAGCATCTTCCTAATGTGTCATGTGAAACATTTTAATCTTTCATCTGAGAAGTTTTTAAACTTCGCTCCAGGGAGGTCAGAACCACTAAGGGTCTTGGAGGACCAGAAGAAGGATAGAATGTGTGAGCGGACATGAGTTGGGACACCCTCTTCCCACCTCCAACACTCTCTTTCCAATCGTGATTGAGCAAGCACAGCTGAAATTTATGTACTTAATTAGTTTTCTTTAATTGGGTTTGAAGAAAAGTCTCCAACAATTTAAAAATAATTATTTTGAAAATCCACTTAATTAGGTAATTCTGAATTTTCTGTTCACGTAAGTCCTGTAGTTCTCGACTCTCAATGCCAGATTCTACCCCCATGTATTTTATTTTGATTTAATGAATTTGCTGGGGACCCTGACATTTAAAAAAATTTCCCCAGAGGATTTTAACTTGCAGCCAGGGCTGAGAACTACTTTTTAGTTCAGTTGCACTGATCTCTTTTTCAGCAGAAGTGAGTAGGAACTATGTCTTTTTTTTTTTTTTTTTTTCCCTGCCAGAGAATAGAGTTCTGCCCAGGATAATTAATGTTTATGGAAACTACTTTATTCTTTCTTCCCATATTCCTAACGTAAATCAACATTCCCACCTTCACACCTAGCAAGAAGTAGTGCTGGGACTCTCGAACCATTCCCCTTCACCAGTTAACTCTACTGATTTATATTGTTATCAGGAAAAGGTGCGTTTCATTCCATTACGATGGTCTATTTTTGTATATCTGTAAGTGCCCATATATAAATGTTAGTGTCGAGATGGCTAAAACAGTTGTTAGAGTGTATTTTGCCCTACAGGTGTAATTTTTTATAGGGAAATTGAACCTATTATTGAGCCTTGCGCACGTTAGGTTCACACGGAGTGATTACTACCACAATAGGAACCCAGGCATTTTTCTGCTTAACTGTTACAATGTGTGTAAACATCCATACTACTACTATATGCCATGTGCTCTGAGTTGGGTGTCTGCCATCACCAAGATCAAGTTAACAAGGTCAGTATGCCAGGGCCTTTTTCTTACTGCTTTCTAGTTAAGTCGCTACAAATTTGGTAAATAAGCACCAGGTGAACAAGATAACCTCGTACGATATTCTGTTCTGAACAGGAGATTTATAGCATTGGAATGTGTGACTCAGACAGAATAGAACCCCATTCTTTCCTCTCTTTCTCCCTCCCTCCCTTCCTTCCTTCCTTCCTTCCTGCCTGCCTGCCTTCTTCTCTCCTTCACTCCCTCCCTTTCTCCTGCAGGCTTTTGAAATACGCTAAATGCAAGGAGAGGCTTTCTCTGAACTCTCCTTATCTGCCTAAACACAGATCTTCTGAAAAGAGCTCAGTAGTCACAGATTTCTTCCCCGGGAGTTCACTCAGACAGGGAGGACTGACTCATCATGGGAGAGGAGAGTAAAGGTTGATGTCATATCCAGAAAAACTTTGTCACAAACTATCCTACTTCTCCTCTCTTCTTCTAAGGGCCCATCCATCTTTCCTAAAGATCGTTTGTTCTCCCTTAACTTATGCCCTTAACTTTCTACCAAGAAGGTGTTAATCCTGAAATCAAAGTCACTTCTTTGACTTACCCATTTTCCCCTGGGTGTCTTCCATGTGTGCATTTTTATAAACTTCTGTGTGTTTTTTTCTCTTGTTAATTTGTCTTTTATTATGGGAATCTCAGCTAAGAACTCAGAAGTATAGAAGGAAAATCACTTTCCTTCCCCTCGTACCCAAGCCCTTAGGTAATGCAAACAGGTGTCAGTTCCTCTCCACAGTGGCCAAAGCATCAACTCATGTACTTACTACCCTGGTTTCCAGTTGTTTCTCCTTGTTTGTGGCCACGGGGAATTTCCTTTACTTTTAGTATTCTCAGATAAAAAATTTATCAGGATGTTTATTTATTTTATCTAGTGTTTGAAGGTGTTTAGTAGATGGAGGATTCATTTTATTCAGTCTATAATGTTGCTGAAACGAGCATCTAACCAGTTTTTCTAATAAAATATTTGTGCGGCTGGTGGGCCCCTAGGACACCCAACACCTCACTGATCGGGAAAAGGCCCGGGCAGGGAGTCCCAATGACCAGACCCTGCATGCTCTTCTGCCTTCAACGACCATGTCGTGATGAATGTGAGACGTCTCTCAGCACCACTCAAGGCATGGGCCCAGGGGGAAGACAACCATGGCGGAGTCCTTCCAGTGAATTTTCCTGGACTCAGTAGGTCTCTCAGCGTCTCCTGCTTGTGACGCTGGTATGCTTTTGTTCTTGAGTACCATAACTTTTCAATTCTGGGTTTCTTCTGAATTTGCTCCATCTTAGGTCCTAGTGGGCTGGATTTTAGCATCTGACTCAGATTTGTTTTTTCCATCTGTCACCCCTCCCTCTGCCATATCCCAGGATTCCAGTTTATGACCTCTCTTCTAGAGAAAGGATTTTGCAACTCTTGTCTCCTTCTGGGTGTTAGTTCCTTTTAATATTTAGCTCTGACCCAGGAACATATTGCACAACTGCTTTGGAGAACTATGGGATACCCAAGCCATCGATCCTGGGACTTAATTTGCCTCAGTGCCTCAAGGCTTATGGTGGGAGGAGACACATGCAAAGAATTAAAGGATTTTGTCAAATATGCTAGTTTCTTGAGTTAAGTCCCTGAAAGAAGGAGTTGAGGGGCATGACTCTGCAGCTTGCAAGAAAGAAATCTTATTACATTGAAGTACAGAGCCTGTATGTGAGTATTTTAACAGAGCACTTTATTTTAAATTATTTTAAAATTACTTCCTTTTTCTTGAGCTAAGAATATTAAAACCTCAATTTCCAGGCTTTGAGTTAAAGTCCTTTAACAAGCACAGTGGGTAGGAGGTTCTTGGTCCCTCACAACGAGCTGCTCATCCAACAGTCCTCTGAAACAGAATCAGCAAGGGCTGGCTCTACAGAACAAGCCAGGGTCACCCATGCAAAAGGTTGGTTAATTCAAGTATAAATCAAACAGCAAAGAGACAGCAATTTGCTACAAGTGCCCCAGATGTTCCTAATGAAGAATGCCTTTTCTTTTTAGAAAGGCTTAAGCTGGTTGACTTTAAAGAAATCCTGCAAACCTCAAGTCCTTAGGTGCCTATTTCTGGGTAAACATGGGGGATCGGTTAGCAATAAGAAGAAAGGCAATTTCTTAGTTATGTTAAAAGAAAATTTCCCGCAGCCAGCTTACCGATCTAGGAGGCTTTCATCCAGTCATTCATGAATCAGGTAACATCCAATCTAGAGGATAGAGAGAAGCTCTACAAAGCTGTAAAGGGTAAGAGATGTCTGTAATCAAAGTGAGTAGGAACAAGGAAGTTATACTGGGCATTTGATGTTTGGTTAAAGCAAGATTACCTTTTCTCCACGGAGCCAAGGGAAATCTTGGAACCGGGTCAGGTAACTTGTGCCAAGCAGGCAAGTGCTGATTGGTTGACATAGGCCTTCCTTTTCTGGGAGAGCCTAACAGGAACTCAGTCAAGTTTTGGTTTGCTGCTATGGGGCTTAGCATGAGTGCCTCCATTTTGAGTCTCACTGGTTACTTTAACAATAAGGAAAGGAAAAGAACTTTTTTTTTTTTATTGCACAGTACAGATACTGAGATTTTTTTTAAATTTTTTATAAACATATATTTTTATCCCCAGGGGTACAGGTCTGTGAATCGCCAGGTTTACAGACTTCACAGCACTCACCTTAGCACATACCCTCCCCAATGTCCATAACCCCACCCCCCTCTCCCAACCCCCCTCCCCACAGCAACCCTCAGTTTGTTTGGATATGGTTTTATATCCCTTAGAGGCTTGAAAGGGAGAAAAATATGCCACCCAAAATATGCCTCTTTGGTACAAGGATTATTCTGAGAAATAGGCACAGAGAAGCTTTGAAAATAGAGTAGAAGTCACACTACTGTAAGGAAAATTTCTATTTAAAGGAAGCCTCCGGGGCACCTGGGTGGCTCAGTTGGTTGAGTGACTGCCTTCAGCTCAGGTCATGATCCTGGAGTCCCATATCCGGCTCCCTGCTCGGTAGGGAGTCTGCTTCTCCTGCTAACCTCTCTCCTCTCATGCTCTCTCTCTCTCTCTCAAATAAATAAATAAAATCTTTAAAAAAAAAATAAAAAAAAAATAAAGGAAACCTCCATTTGTAAGGGTGTCTCCCTCTGTACCAGGAAGAGGTACATGACCTAGTCACCAGAAACTCTCGTCAGCGGAGAAGGCACGGGCTTAAATCTGCGCAATGATCTTACCCTTGTTTATGTGCTCTGCCTGCTAACTTCCTGTAACTAGCCTTCCCTTCCCCCAACATCTTTCTTTTGGCCTTTTAGCTAAAGATGTTATTCAAGGTGGTGGCCTCAGCCGTCTTGGAGAGTTTCTCAGTTTTCCCTGACATCTCCCATGTATACATACAGGAGGTATACGTATTAATACATTTGTTTTTCTCTTGTTAATTTATCTCTTATTATAGGCGGTTTCAGGCTAGCAGGATAGAGGAGAATAGTTTTTCCTCTATTGTAGGCTCACAGTGTCAACCATTCAAACTGACTAAATCCTTGAGAGATCAACACTCCTTTAAACCTTGGACAGCAGGAAGTTTTCAGTCCTTCTTTCTCGTGTCTACTGCAAGTCAAACATCTTACTGATGCCTCTCACTTCTTTGCACCTTTCCAGACAGACTGACTATAACCAGGTGCTCAAGATGACAGGGAGACCATATTTTCTGAACAGTGACTGTCTTACCTTCCTGGGCAAAAGAATTTCATGGAACAAGCTGGTAAGTTGTGTTAACGTATGTGGTCTCATTTCTCAGGCAGAAACCAGTGGATTTTCTTCCATTATAAGCTGCAGTGAGTCAGAGACCTTGTAGGACTTTTTACCCCTCTTTTAAGAAACCAGATAGGCTCTTTTGTATGCTTGCTTTTCACTGGCATCCTGGGGCCTGTGCCTGCTTCCCTTTCCTCTGTGAAGCCTCCTTGCCTTCTTTAACGATGGGCTGATTCTGAGTAATCTTTTGGCATCAGGTGACATTCACTTCCTTTAGGAAGTTCTCCTGACTTCTTTTCTACTACTATTGTCCACTTCGAGTCCCCTGCCCTGAGGATTCCCATGCTAGCTGTCACTGAGCATCATCTCCTTGAATGTCTGTCTCCTCCCTCAAGCTCGAGAGCTTCTAGAGGGTGAAAATTATCTTAGAATAGTATTCTTTTCTGCTACTCAGCATCTGACACACAACATAACACAACACAATTAAAAAAAAGATTTTACTTATTTATTTGAGGGAGAGAGGGAGAATAATCAGGGGGACAGGTTGAGGGAGAGGGAGAAGTGTAATCCCTGCTGAGCAAGGAGCCTGATGCGGAACTCAATCCCAGGACCCTAGGATAACGACCGGAGCTGATGGCAGAGGCTTAAACACTGAGTCGCCAGATGCCCCACAACACATTTTTTTTTAATGTAAACTTTTTCATGAAGCATTACACAACGCAGAAAATGACATGAATCACACATAGACCCCTCAGCTAATTTTCGGAGAGTGAACAGAACCCATCCAAGAACCAGCACCCAGATCAAAGAACAGAAACTTTTCAGGACCCCAGCTGAGCTCCCTGTGCGCTCCTCCGTTGCTGCCCTTCCTCCAAAGCTGACAGCTAGGCTGACTTCTAACACCACACATTAGTTTCACCTATTTTTAAACTTTATATAAATGCAACAGTGCCATTTGTATTCTTTTGCATTGCTTCTTTCATAAAACGTTGTTTGGTAGATCCATTCAAGTATTTTCATGTGTATGTCTGTTGTTGGTTTGTTCTCCTGTCTTGATAGTATTCCATTGTGTAAATAAATCATTATTTATCCAATCCACCATTGTTGGGAATGTTGATCTCCAATTTGGGACTATTATGAATACAATTGATATGAACATTCTTACACACGAGTTTTGTTGCATATGTACTTGCATTTCTAAGAGTTAAAAAGAAAACTACAAGCCACAAATGGAGTCATTTATGTTAAGGCCCCATGTCACTGAGATTTGGTACCTAACTTAACTGCATTTTCAAACTCCTTGGGAATGTACCCTCGACCCAGCTAAACTAAAATTTCCTGGGATAATCCCTGAGGCGCCCCTTCCCTCCTTGGGAAGGTGACCTCACCAAAACAGTGCATTCCTTGTAAAACAAAACAAAACAAAACAGGCCAAAAAACCAAAGAACCAAAAAAAACAATACAATCCTTGCTAACAATTCTCTCCCTTTTCTAAGGGCCCTCTGCCATCAAAAACTTCCTTTTCTGCAGCTCAGCAAATTTCCTGGTACTTGCTAGGTGGGATGCTGCCCCACTCATGAATTATTTAAAGCTAATTAGATCTTCAGATTTACTTGGTTGAATTTTGTTTTTTAACATAAGAAAAAAATGGATGGATCATAGGTTTTGCCTATTTTTTGACCTTTCATAGAACACATCAAGCAGTTTTCCAAAGTGGTTGTACCAATTTTCATTTCCAGCAGCAACGGACAGGGGAGTTCAACAAATTAGTTTTGAATACATTAATAAGAAAGAAAAGGAGCTAAGAATGCTTCCTCACTAAGCATGGCTCCTAAGGGGGGCACAGTGTCTCCAGCTGCCCTGAAAAAATAAAAAGGCTTCTGTTCCTTCCTTTTTAATTTTCTTCTTGTATTTGTTAATGAGTGACTTAGGCGAGGGCTAAATGGGAATGTAGATAAATGCTACCTTTGAGAAAATCCCGAGGTCATTGAAATAGGGCTATAATGTGGATGTTTCCTTTGCCGTCTTTAGATTATAACTGCTGATTACCATCCTGGGAACAACTAGCTTGGCTGGAATATGGGCTTGTGAATAATTCTGCGAGTATATTTAACTTCTCAGACATGTGTGAATAATATATATCTTCCTTTGGGAGATGACTTTCAGACTCTCCTTGCTGTGCACATATCCTAATCAAAGGTAATGGTGAAGGTAAACACTGGAGATCAGTTATGGCGCAGTTCCGTTTGGCTCTCCCACCAGTGCCACCTGCCCCTCCGCCACAGCCAGAGGACTCTGCTCCGAGTCCGGCTGGCACGTTGGCTGGCACGTTACAGGAGCTCTTCCCAGCAGCGTCCCCGGGCGGAGTTCGGCAGGTGGGGATTGAGTTAAGTGGGAAAAAAACTAAGTGTCCATAAGAGGTACCGTAATTGATTGGGGAATCAGTGCTGTTCTGAGAATTGCTTGTTTGCTGGAGGGCAGCTTCCATTTTAGCTTAGAATCTGCAGAGCATCGGCCTTCCCAGTGTAGCCAAGTTTCAGTTCCTCCGACAGTCTCTCCTCTGGGGTGTGTGTCAGGTGGAGGCCCTGTGTCAGGACTGAACGAAGCAGTCCTCACGCGTTATCTCAGACGTGATGCAAACCCGGTTCAGCCTGAACTCAAGCCACCGCACAGTCTGCAGCGCCTGTCCACACGGTGTGTGAAAACCCGGGAAAAGTGGGATTGGCACAATCTCAGTGGCTTCATTTTAACGATTAGAGAAAATGTAGCGGGCATGTGCAAAAATTTTAAACCTTTAGGATTTCTGCCATGCTGTAAGTCTATACTTAGAGCATGTGGGGGGTGGGGGCCGGGGGATGGGGAGCAAGCACTAGGCTCTTGGCCATTGACATCAATACTGTTAAACCTCCATTTCTGAGTTGTGTTCTCTAGGACAGATAGCTCCTATCAATGGTAATACTCCAACTGAATTAAACAGGCCAGAAAATTTCACTGTCTTTAAATTGGATCTTTGTGGATTAATGGCATTCAGTTCGACACATACTTATTAAAAGAGGCATTGTGGAAGAGACAAATACAAAATAAATTCCTGCCTCTATCAAACTTTTGATCTCGGGCTATATTGACACAGAAGAGGTGCCTATGATCCCTATTGCGTCTGCACCTGTCTTCTCTGGGAATTAAGGCTTTTCCACCTCATGGGAGGACCAGTTGAGAAGACTTAGGGACCCATAGTCATAGACCCATCGATTAAGACTTCCAGAATGATGGGGTTCAGGACATGCTACACTGAAATAAACCTCCCATATGGAAGGTGTTCTCCCTGTACGAGGAAGAAGGAAGACATTCCTATCAAGAGACAGGAAATTGGGGGCCAATCATCTGTACAAATAAACCTATAAAACTAATCCTTATCTTTCTAGTTACTTCTGTACCAATTACTGCTTCTGATCCAAACACCTTTGCCTTGCCTATTCTTTGTTTTTACTTATTTTGTTGTTTCTTTGTCTAAAAGGTATAAAAGCTTCCTGCTCTGGTCACTTTGAAACTTCAGCCTCTAGTGAAGGCCCCATGGACATGTAAAAATTCAATAAAATTTGTGTGCTTTTCTCCTGCTATTCTGTCTTATATCAATGTACTCTTTAGGCCCAAAGAGGGTAGAGGAGAATATTTCCTTCCCTACAGATCACTTAAAAAGCCCAGTGAATTCTAACTCTTTCTGTGGTCAAAATGAACGCAACACTAAATATATACTAATATATATATATATAAAATACTAATATATTAACAAAGAGAATTCAGAAATAATGTACCTAAATTGATATATTTAATTATTTTGTACTTTTTTTTTTTACATTGATAAGTTTTTAATTTCTATATTCATGCAGACATGAGATTTCCTGGGCTGGGATAGATCATTACTCCTTATTCATTGATTTCCCCTCTGTCAGTTTTCCCCCTTGGAGGAATATAATGAGAGCAGACCATCATTCTACACATATGACGGTCTGTATTGTGGTGAGGAACCTCCATTTCCCCCCCTCCCAAATATGAATCTGGGAGCTTATAGAATATATTCCCTCCTATGGGCCAGAAATAAAATTAATCTCCCTAATGAAAGCAAAATTCCCTTGGGAAGAGAAGGAGAAGATCCTGAATTGCTACCCATTGAAATATAAACAAATGTCAACAGGGGAAAGAGAGAAGACAGTCATCTCTGAATGTATAAGCTCTGGAATGTGTCCAAGGCTTTGGGTCATGCACCCACCCCCACCGCCGACATGTAACCACATAATCCTGGGAGGTAAATCTCTTACTCTCTATCCAGTTATCATATAACTTCTGTGGCCTGTCCTTTAACCAGTTCCCAGTGACATTTGCTAAGAAGGCCCTAAGGATGCAGAAACAGGTGTATTCCCTTCCTGGCACATATGTGAGACATACCTCTGACTCAAGTGGTTGTTTAAAAGAAATATTTGTAGTGTACTCTTCTCTTTTAATCACTGATTTCGTTCATCAATTTAGGTTGGAGTGGAAGATCCCAAAATATTTCCATATTATATTTTGGGAGAAATTTATCAATTTTTTTACTGTCTTGGTGTCCACTATACCTTGCAGTGCCCACCTCACAAGGCTGTGGAGAGAAGCTGCAGAATGGGGGTCCTATGTCTGGCATTCAGTGCTCCTGAAGGTAGGCATTTGGTTGATCTAATACAATATCCTCAATTCTCTGATAGCTAGAAATGAAAGTTATCTTTTGTGATAGATCTCATCTTCCAAAACTCTCTGTGATCATATTTTCAAATCCCACATGCACCTCCAGAATCTTGCTACACTCCTCACCAAGAGTCGGAGTCTGTGTCCTCTCCCCTTGAACTTGGAAGGGGGGTTGTCTTTGTGATTGTCTTGACAAATGGAGTGGAGTGGAAGTGACCCTGCGTGACCTCTGAGTCAGGGCTGTAAATGGCAGTCTCCAGCTTCTTCCTGGCTCTCTCTCTCATCTAGGACATGAGCCTTCAGAGCCCTGAACCACGTCATGAAATGTCCAGCTTCCCAGAGCTGCTGGAGAAGACACATGTGGAGAGACACGGAGAGATAAAGAAACAATCTAGGGGCCTCTAGAAGTTCCAGACTCCAGCTGTCTGAGTTTCCCCAGTCTGACATGTGAGGAGCAAGCATTCAGAATATTCCAGCACCAGCCATCGTGTTTCTACAACTGCAGGAGACATCCTGTGTGAAAACCACCTGGCTGAGCCCAGTCAGCCTCCCAAACCAGGCAAACTAATAACAAGATGCTGTTATTTTACACCACTAAGCTTTTGGGTGGTTTGTTATGGGGCAATAGATAACCCAAACATTCTTTGATTGTGAAACTAGTCAAAGCAATTCAAGAAAGGGTGAGATCAGCTGCACGTAACATTAGCTAATACCTCTCTGGAGCCGAGGTGACCTGGGAACACCAAAGTCAGTGAAGGCAAAAATCTCAGGAGGAAGAAACAGGTGTGATGGTAATCAAGAAAGCTCGTTTCCATCGGGGGTAATGCACCAGAGCTGAAGGAAGACTAAAAAACAGGGATCGTGGAATCTGTGGAAAGGAGAGCTGCCAACAAGATTTTTCTTGACCCCCCTACCCCCCGGACTGTTCAATAAACAAAGACATTGGGTCTGGTGAATTATGACAACAGAAATGGTTGACGAGGCTTTTACAAATGCCCTGGATTCTACGTCCTGTAGGACTAACTGCTCACCCTGTGCGGACCCCGCTGCCCACACAGGAAGCTGATTTGTATCAGGCTTCCCTCTAGATCTCCCCATAGGGAGAAACTCTGATGACCAGACAAGGGGCAGTAATGATTCTCTGTTGGTGAGAGATGTTGCCTTTATACACCAATGCTTTACGAGATTAGTTAATGTAAATCAGTCTCCTATAACTTTGTCAACTCTGAGTGAACTGAGAAAGAATGAGTCCATAGATGGGAGGATCTGACAGGCGGAAAGGGACCCGGTGACTCCCCCAAGACTTTTCTCTCTGGCCTCACTCAGAGTTGGCATTAGACAGAACACTTGAAGTGTCCAGCTCATATCTGACCAACAAGACTGCTGTTTGTGATGGTCACTGATGTTGGGCAACATGGCACCTAAGACCTTCTGCTTTAGTGACATAAAATATTGGCATGATAGAAACAGCACAGATTCTGGACTCTTAACTACACCAAATCCTAATCTCTGTTCTACAATAAATCAAACTGTCCCTTATTTTATTAGTTTTCCCCTGCCATTGTCACTAATAATGACCACAGTACTAATACTTGTAGTAACGACAACAATAACTTAAGGGCTTACTTAGTGCCAGGCCCATTGTTGAAGGAGTATAAAAAATATTTTAATCAACGTTTAGTGGTATCATTAGTGATTTAAAAAATCAGGTTATTGAGGTATAAGTTACATAGAGTAAAATTCACCCTTTTAAGTATACAGTTCTCTGAATTCTGACAAATGTATACAATTGTGCCACCACCACCCAATCAATCAAAATACAGAACATTTTTGTCACTTCAAGAAGCTCACTTATGCTCTTTTGTGTTCAGACTCCTATCCCCACCTCTAGACTCTGGCAACCATTGAAGTGTTTGTGGTCCTTACAGTTTTGCCATTCCAGGAATAGCACATTTGTGCAGTATTTTCAGTATATAACTTTTGGTCTTGTCTTCTTTCACTTAGCATACTACTTTTGATGGAGAGAGACACAGTGAGAGAGGGAACTCAAACAGGGGGAGTGGAAGAGGGAGAAGCAGGCTTTGTGCTGAGCAGGGAGCCCGATGCAGGGCTCGATCCCAGGACCCCCTGAGCCAAAAGCAGACGCTTAATGACTGAGCCACCCAGGAGCCCACTTAGCATGATACTTTTGAGTGTCACTCATGTTGTTTCTACCGTCCATCTTTTTTCTTTGCTGAATAGCATTCTGTAGTAGAGATATACCATATTTTGTTTAGCCATTCATCAGGTGATAGACATTAGGGTCTTTTCCAGTTTGGGCAATCATATTCATGAATAAACCTGCTTTAAAAAACCCATTTGTGTACAGGTTTTTGGGATGGCATATGTCTTTATTACTCTTTGAGTAAATATCTAGGATTAGGATTCCTAGGTGGTATGCCATGCGTCTTAAATATAGTACATCACATCATCCTCACTGGCTGTCGTTCATGGAAAGTGTTATTGTTAGCTCCTCCGTAGACACGAACGCTAAGGCTTATGGAGGTTATAGAATTGCCTAAAATTACATGGTCAGTGGGAAGAAACCCAGGCTTGTTTGACTGCAGAGACCAAAGTCTTAACTACTACTTCTGTAGTGACTATTAACTTATTTCCAGCTAACAGCTAACCAGTCTGGAAATTAAAGTATAAAGGGTGACCTCATCACCCCTGTGATGAAGTGCGACAAAGACTTGATTTCAGATGGAACAATGAAAGGATGGGAGGGTATAACATGAGAAGTATTCTTAGAATTGATTTGGGGGAAATGGGAATGAATCATGCAGTGACAAATACATGAAAATGACAATGAGAGTCAATTCAAAACTCAATTTAAAGATGAGTCATGAACTTTACTTTTTTATCCAGTTCAAATAGTACAGGATGGCAGCGGGCTCCAGCATCGACCAGAGCTCTGATCGATGTTTTCTCATAAGGCTCCTCCGCTGTTCACGCCTACTCAATATCACGTGAGCGGGAAGGCAAGCATAAACAGTATATTCCCGCAACACACATTTACATTTGTGAATTTCTAATGTTCTCGTGTTAACATAATAACGTAAAAAATTTGTTATATAAACAATTAACATCTTTAACAGTTGCATCTTATACTCAAATACATATGTATTGTTTGGATTCCAAAATGATATTCATAATATGAATCAGAGAGAAACTGTAGTGAAGATTAACCTCTAAAAATGTATTGTGGAGATTCTGGAGCGCTTCTGTAGAATTGGAAATAATGGGAAATTGACAGTGAAATATAAAAGTAGATCATGAATAGTTAATACCCAATTCTTCTATGACGATGGTATTAAAATAACAACTAAGTAGTCACCACAGTGACAATTTAAGACAAATTTGTCTTCCCCAGTGCCTAGCACAAGAGCTTACATTTATTAGGAGCTGAATAAACATTTGCTGAGTTGAATTTAATCTTTCTGAGATGAATGTTTATAGAAATGATGGGAAGTGCCCTGTCAAAGTCTATGGGTTCAGCATTAATAAAGGCAATATGTTTTTGTCTTACCAATGTAACAAAAAGGAAATACAGATGTTATCATTAATATGGCAACCAGCTTCCCCAAAGACGTCCAAACCGAGCAAGATTGCTGAGAGTTGTGACTGACACTTGGCTTGCCTGAGGCATTTGAGCACCAGTGTATTCTCTTCTCATAGAAGGTAGATACTAAGGAAAACTCTCATAAAATCCTTCTGAGGATCATACATGAGACACAAACAAATACAAAGAATCCTGTATCTGGAATCTCCTACCTTGTGAGGCAGAGCCTACCTCCCGTTCTAGAAGCTGAAATTGACAGGAACTCTCCACCTACCACTTCCCGTGCAGCCAGAGCTCTGCTAATCAGATACGCTGGCCCCCGTTTGAATGGGGACCAAATGACACGAAGAAGAAAGAACCCTACAGAATCCATTCCATTTTTTATTACTGTGTGGTATGACATTTATGCTCCAGTATCTCTGACCACTGTCAGTCAGTGGTCACAGCAGTGTCCTCATGTGACTAACTCTATGGTGGGATGTTAGATAGTATTCAAGGATCCTTTCCCTTTTAATCTGGAACTAAGAACCTAACTGGTATGTAACTGTTTTTATAAAACAGCTGCAAATAACTGAAACACATAAAGTATTTTTGAGGAATAAAAGTAAATGGGGGCATATTATTTACTCCAGAGGAAAACAGAAATGGGGCTCAAAATCAGTGAAAAAAAATAAGAGTTTTTTAATAGTGCAAAAGGGTCGCTTCCCTAGTAACTGTAAGATAAGGACCCTGCATAAGTGGTGGTTGTGGAAGTATTTTGTGCAGTCAACCTCCATTTTGGTCTCACGTTAAGTCAGTTGCATGAACCGGTGGACTAGGTAAGAGTGAATTTCCAAAGTTTACTGGTTTGGGTAATATGAATTATTTCCTCTTCCTAGGAGAAACAACATTAAAATAAGCATCACAGGAAAATATTGTGGTTGCCTCTCTGGCACTTTTTTCTCTGTGTCCCCTTTCCAATGGGGGCTCCCCAGCCTTGCAGATTGGCTGGAATTGATCTCACAGCAGCTAGAGGGATGGGCTCTAGTCATGGTGTGGGGATAAGATTACCATTAAAAGGGCTTCAAAGGGACAGAAAGGAGATGTTAATTGGGGGGCATCTGGAGAAGAAAATGGTTCTCTCTCTCCTGAACGTTACAAAGAAAGATGCTCCCTTCTTCCACTGTTCGTGAACGAGGATGCAGTTAGAGGCAGGTGATGCTTGTGACCACGGTGCTCTCGTGAACAGTGGCAGCCTTAGGGAGGCAGGGCAGAGACACAGAAAGAAAGCGGCCCCGTGCTGTCATTAAATTGCGGACAATTTAGGTCCTCCAGGAAGCAGACGAGAAGATTACCAGCACCTAAGACTTATTGGGGGTAATACTGGGGGAAGGTAAACGGGGAGGAATTGTATTGGGCCATGAAAGCCTTTAGCCCTTTGATTTAGGTCTGCCGCCTATGAAAGCAGGGCTGCGGGGGCTGGGATTGGGCAGACGAACCTACACCCAGCCGCAGATTTTACCAAGTCTTGGTCAGTACAACAGGGAGCTTTGGAATAAAGATTGCTTGTGGGAGCTTCCCACATTGGACAGAAATGCCCAGGGCCTGACTCCCCTGCTGTGCTTATTCCCAGGGCTGTCCAGAAAGAGTATGGTCTCAGCTCAAGACCGTGCGGGACCCCACATGCCCGTGGCTATCAGTTGCCTGCACGCCTCATAGGTAGGCAGCTTATTCTTTTTGGAAGGGAGACCTGAGTGGTGTACTTCTTTTATCTTTGGACTCCTTAAATGACTTGAACCACTGAATCCCTTTCTTCTTCTTCTTGTTGGTATTATTATTATTATTATAACTATTAAAAACACTTTGACTTCAGTTTTCTGTCACTTGTGATCAATGGAATTCCAACTAGTATGTAAGGTAATATTTTTATATTTAAAAACATTTCCCGCTCAGTTCAACACGCTCTTAAGGAGTGAGGTACCTTATTTATATTATCTCTCATCTTCAAAAACAAATAAATGAACAGACTCCGCGTATATCACAGAACTGACATGCAGCTGGTGCCTAATTGATAGTAGCTGCTATGACGGATCTTCACTACAGTTGTATCGCTCTGCAGTATTTAATAATGATAACTCAGTTTTTAGTCTCAAAGGTGTTTTTTGCATAAAAGTATTTATAGTTTCTTATGTTTGTGTTAGTATTCAGTTCATAAAAGGTATAAATTGTGTTCCCTAGTTTTAAAAGTCTTTCCTTTGAACTCACAAATCTTGTTACTATCTTTGCAAATCTAATATTGTGTTACAATTTTAAACACTTTGTTATTTAACGAATGCTCAATTAAAGCATTGTAGATTCGATGCCTTGAATCCCTCAAATATTAGCACTACTGAGAAACTTTATTAGCTAGGTTTTCTTTTTTTTTTTTTTTAAGATTTTTAAATTAATTTAATTGACAGGTAGAGATCACAAGTAGGCAGAGAGTCAGGCAGAGAGAGAGGAAGGGAAGCAGGCTCCCAGCTGAGCAGAGAGCCTGATGCGGAGCTTGATCCCAGGACCCTGGGATCATGACCTAAGCCCAAGGCAGACGCTTAGCCCACTGAGCCATCCAGGCATCCCTACATATTTCACATCTTCATATTGCATACCTTAAATATATAAAGTTTTATTTCTCAATTTTAGTCAGTAAAACTGGAAAAAAAGAAGGTGGGGGGGAGGGAGAGAGAGAGATTGAGAGAGAGAGAGAGAGAGAGAGAGAGAGTCTGCTATGCTTGCATATTAAAAACTTAGGCCCATGAGGAGGTTGCTGGTCCAGGACAGGATAGGGAACATGGCTGGGGATCAGCATCCAGACATTGCTTCAAAGAGAGTGCTACCTGAGCCTCAGGGTCATGCCCTCTGTGTCCCTTCTTACAATCAGACTTGAGAGGCTTTATCCCTGGCAGACTTCAAGCTTACAGTTTTCAGCCAGGATAAAAGGTAGTTTAATACCCAACCTATCATATGTGGTCTTTGGTTTGTCTTTCAAGTTTCATCCTCACCCACATTTTCAACTTTTTATTATTTAATTTCCATGGACAAAATTCTAAATCTCCTG